AAGCATTAGCTAACATATATATTTGGAAAGATCCTCAATGGGGAAAAGGTGTCTCATGTTCGTGTTGGTGGCGTCAACTCTTATCATACTTTAGTTTATCGTGAGATTGTACTGCTTTTTTTTTTTAAAGAGAATTTGATGATCACTCCCTCATTTGATTATTGTTATATGGGGGGTTTTAGGAAACTTAAGCCCTAACAATCATTGTAAACTTTACTCAACAAAAGAGAAATCATATATTGAAAACAACTGAGCTAGTGGAACGGTGTTCCCCCGTTTTATAATAATCCGCCTGAGTTTTTTTTTTTGCTTAATATTATTTCAGAGTTGTAAAGCGAAGGAGGCGTGACGTGTCACATTAATATAGTATTGGCTGTACGCCGTAATTTTAACCTGTAGCGCGCAGGCCGCGCTTTTCATGATAAAAGAGTTAGATTTAGATAATATATTTATAAGTTTGTCCGTTCAAAGATATATTTATTATGAGAGAAATCATTGGTTTTTAAACGATCTCCCAAAATTATGTACTAGTATGTATAAATATTTACTGGATCGATATTGCATCGTTAGGAATCCATATCCATATCCAATTTGAATCTGTATATATCAGTTATAAACTCGTAAACATTAGCTAAATCAATATCTTGAACGGAGTTGCACATTGTTCCTAGTTTTACAGTTTTTCTATTTCTATTTCTATTTCTAAATTATATATACGAGTTTTTGGATTCCTTCAACCCATTCCAACTTTAAATACAGAAGGAAACCCATTAGCTTTCTAGGCCCATGTTTTAAGATTAAAGAAATTAAGGACCATCAAGGACAAGATGATTTGGGCTGACTATGTTTGGAATAAATAATTGATTGGAGAAGCCCATCTTGTTTCTTTCTTTTATTCTCATGCCATTAGTTGCTTTACAGTGATGGTTCCAATACTTTGACGAGTAAACATATTTTCTTATAATTTTTTTACAAAAATTAAAATTTCACGAAAGTTTTTTTAACCGTTGCCAAGTAACATATTGTAACTTACATTTAAAAAAAAAATGCATCGCATCCCTATTAAGAGGGTGTCTGGGAGGTCTTTGATGATTTTATTAAAGTTAAATGGGTAGATTATTTATATGAGCTTATAAACTAGCTTTTCAAAAGTCAACTGGTTAATGATCCACCAAATAGTTAGATTTGAAAAAGCTAGATTATTAGTTTGACAAAAAATAAGCTCTTCTAAACACCCTCTAATCATAGATAATAAATAGCCAAGCTAATATATTTAGGAAAAGATTTTTTTTTTTTGGTAACGAGGGAACCCCGGTTAGCACTCCAGCGCCCCACTTTTGGGTCTGGCGGAGACCACAGATCGAGTTCCCCCGATCCCCCCACAACTGCAAGGAACTTCGCCCAATTATTCTTAGGGGGCTCATCCCCACGTGCCAGGACCAATGTGACCCACTTGCATAGGGCAAGCAGTGTGTGGACCAAGACGACCTAACCGGACCCCAATCTACCAGGCTGGCCTACCAACAGGGTAAAACCCCGGGTCTCCATCCCCACCCTTAAACCAAAGGAGACCAGGTGAATGCGGCTACGGGGATTCGAACTCCCAACCAGCAGGGCACGAAGGCCTAGGGAGCGAATCCTCCCCCATGGTGTTGCTGACCGAGAGTCCCACCCGCGGGTGGTAGGAAAAGAAATCTTATCCGTATGCAAATCATACTAAAGTTGGAAAATCTTTAGTTTTTTTCCTAGAAAACCACCTTAAAATAGGGTCATTATACAAAAAACTATCTTTTCATTTTAAATTTATATGTATAACACCTTTAAAGTGGGGTTTAGCTCCAATCGACCATCTCTTAGTCAAAAGAACTAAATATTTGTAGTAGGGAAAAAAAAGATGACAAGATTAAGAATTAATTTACATGGATAAAAGTAATTATTTTTGACTCAAGAGCATGTATCACCCATCCAATTAGCTTTCTAAACGTGTCTTCATTCCCTTGTTAGTTCTTGTTGGAGAAGTAGCAAATGCACTTAAGTCCATGACATTAAATGTGCACTTAAATGATGTTAATCTAGATTATTAGATTTTAAGAATTCATGCCATGATCCAATGGTTGACATTATTTGGATGCGCATTTAGGTTTGGCAGAGTTTTTGACGAGTGAAGATGAAGTGAGGAGAGGTGAAATGAGGTGGATATGTAGATATCCCTTTTAAGCCTTTTAAGTTTGGATGGAGAGGAGAGGAGGGGAAATATAGTTTATTTTATCTCTCCTCTTTTTTCCTCCCAATTTAGAGGGATTCTTTTTTATCTAATTTTTTAGTTTATTTTGCGGTGTCTTCACCATTTCTTGCTCTCAATCTACCTACCTCACTAAAACCTCTATCAAAGGTAAATTAAATTTGGGAAAATTGCTTCTAGCCCCCAACTTCCTTACATGTATTCCACCCACCCCCAATACTTTTTTAATGCTCCCAAAACTCCCAAAAGCAAAGTCATAGTTCCATGAGCTCCCAAAACATAAAAACCAAGAGTTTAAAACATGTAAAGACCATAATATCCTTTCTTTCTCTATAATACTCTCTCTCTCTCTCTCTCTCTCTCTCTCTCTCTCTCTCTCTCTCTTTCATGATGTTACCGTGATCTCTCTTTTTCATGATGTTACTGTGATGATTTAAAATGAGTTTTTTTTTGTGGTGGTGGGGGGGGGGTGGGGGGGGGGGGGGGGGGATTCTAGTTCCCTTCAAAATTTTCCAACGGGCTTGACATTGGCAGTGAAACTTTCCCGGCGTTCGTCATTGACGATGAAGAAAACTGTAATCTTGAAGACGGTGATTACGAGTTGCGTCACCAACCCCCTTAAGTTTACATATTGTTATAACTTTTTTTTGAAATCGATGACTTAAGATTAAAGTAGTTATAAATTGTTGTTATTTCACTATAATAAGTTTGTTGTTAAGCTTATGAGTTGGTAGTGAAAGAAGGTTACGTGTTGGTTTTGAAGGTTACGAGTTGGTTGTGAAGTTTACGAGTTAGTTGCCAAACATAGCCTAAATGTTTATGGTATTTCAGTGAAACTTAGGTTATTAAAGTTACTTTTTACACGTGTTGGTTGTGAAGGTTACGAGTTGGTTGTAAAATGTTACGAATTGGGTATGATGGTTACGAGTTGGTTATGAAAGTTACGAGTTGGTTGTGAAGGTTACACGTCTGTTGTCAAGGTTACGAGTTGGTTGTGAAGGATACGTGTTGGTTGTGAAGGTTACACGCCGGTTGTGAAGGTTACACGCCGGTTGTGAAAGTTATGAGTTGGTTGTGACGGTTACGGGTTAGTTTTGAAGGTTATGAGTTGGTTGTGACGGTTACGGGTTGGTTTTGAAGGTTATGAGTTGGTTGTGATGGTTACGAGTTGGTTGTAAAGGAAAGTTACGTGTTGGTTTTGAATGTTACGAGTTGGTTGTGAACTTTAAGAGTTAGTTGCCAAACGTACATGTTGGTTGTGAATGATACAAGTTGGTTATGAAAAGATTATGAGTTGGGTGTGAATGTTACGAGTTGATTGTGAAGGTTACACATTAGTTGTTAAGGTTATCTGTTGGTTGTCAAGGATACGAGTTGGTTGTCAAGGATACGAGTTGGTTGTAAAGGATACGAGTTGGTTGTGAAGGTTACGCGTTGGTTGTCAAGGTTACGAGTTGGTTGTGAAGGATACGTGTTGGTCGTGAAGGTCACGAGTGGGTTGTGAAGGCTACGAGTTGGTTGTGAAGGTTAGTTAACAACAATCACAATCAACTCATTACCAAGGTTCACAACTGACTCGTAACCTTCACAACTCGAAATCTTCACAACAAACTTTTAACCTTCGCAACCAACGTAACATTCACAACCAACTCGTAACATTCATAATCAACGCATAACCTTCACAACCAACTCGTAACCATGACAACCAACGTGTAACCTTCACAACCAATGCGTAACCTTCACATCCAACACGTAATCTTCACAACCAACTCGTATCATTGACAACCAACGCGTAACCTTGACAACCAACGCGTAATCTTCACAATCAACTCGTATCCTTCACACCCAACTCATAATCTTTTCATAACCAATTCGTAACCTTCACAACTAACACGTACCCTTGGTAACTAACTCGTAAACTTCACAACCAACTCGTAACTTTCAAAACCAACACATAACCTTCCTACACCACCAATTCATAAGCTTAACAATAAATTTATTACGGTGAAATAACAACAATATATATAACTACTTTAATATCAAGTCATCGATTTTAGAAAAAAATATAACAATATGTAAACTTAAGGGGGTTGGCCGCAACTCATCATCGTTGTCTTCAAGATCGCGGTTTTCTTCGTCGCCGATGACGAATGCCGGGAAAGTTTCGCAGCCGATGTCGACGCTGTTGGAAAAATTTAGAGGGAACTAGAATCCCCCCCCCAAAAAAAACCCTTTCAAATCATCACAGTAACATCATGAAAAAAAGAGAGATAGAAATATATTATGGTCTTCACACATTTTAAACTCTTGGGTTTTGTGTTTTGGGGCTCATGGAATTATGACTTTGATTTTGAGGGTTTTGGAAGCGTTGAAAAAATCTTAGGGGGCGGCGGGATACTTGTAATAAAGTTGGGGACTAGAAGCACTTTTCCTACTTAAGTTTTATCGCTCCCTCTACCTCACGTTCCTTGTAGCAATTTAACTTTAATGCAATGTGACCGTCCCCACCGAATGCCGCCTCATGTTGCTTTCACCTGTAGAAAGGACCGTGCCGTAGTAACCCCTTCTTCTTCTTTCTCTCTCCTCCCCAAAATCCTCGTTCCTAATTATTTGCCTCCGCTAATTAATCCTCGTCATCCTCTAAATTAATTCTTTATCTAATTCCTTCAGTAAATAAATAACTCGCCTCAGATCCCTAGCTCTCGTTGACGGGTCCCTTTTCAATTTGGGCATTTCCTCGAACAGGTTAGGGTTCTTCTTCTTTAATTATTATTCTCAATTTCGATCAATTACGTCTCAATTTCGTAATTTCGGAGGAAATTTAGGGAAACTGCATCACTTCCTTTTATATAATCAAGGCAGTGGTTGCTAACTAACGTGATTTTGTAATATAAAAAGTTTGATCTTGGAGAATTTGCATATAAGTTGGTGCAATTAGAACCTGGATAGGATCATAAATTTCAAATTTTGTTTGCTTATTGAGGTCAAATATGCGAGGATTCACAAGATAGAGATGGGTAATTAACTTTAGGTTATATCTATTCATTTGATATAAAATAAGTTTTTTACCTGCCCAATTATTAGACCAACAGATTTGGCCTTCAAAATTTAGTGCGGATTATCTCATTTTAAATGAAAGGATATGTATTGTGCGCCAACTGGCCATCAAAGTTTTATTTAGGCTATTACTTGAATATAGTTGTGTTGAGTAGGAATGACATTGATCTTGATATTCTCAAAATCTATTGAATTTAATCCGTGCTTTATAGCCTAAATTTGATAGAAAAATGTTCGGCTTAATAATGTTGTGTGTTGCACGCACATGATATATCAACAAAAGCACAAAATGCTAACATGGGAAATTCTGAAAATTTCGTATAATAGAGTGCATTATCCGACTTAAAGATAGAGGCGTCCATACGGCACAGATGATGATAATGGTCGAGATTCTACGAACTTTATGAAAGTGTGTCTTGTTTCAGGCAGTAGTCTCTACAAAAGAGTAGGTGTGACATTTGGCCTGAAAACTGCTTGTTATGGGTATATGAGTGTGTAGCTTGAGATTCTCAAGCTTCTAGTGGCGAGCTAAATGTTAACAGCAGTTATTCCTCCAACTATTTATTATGGGCTACGTACCTTCAAGCCTTCTGCCAGAAGCTTCAATAACCCAAGTGCTGATATTCCAGAAACAACTTTTTCAGGAGCAAGTCAATGTAATTCACTTCCTAACAGAACAGGCATTTCCTAAGCCACACTTTTGTTAAGTGGAATGTATTGGTATTTCACGTGCTTGTTCTAGATAGTGGCCAGGAGTGGTTTATGAATGGCTTTATGAGTTGGCAGTTATCGCAGCCAAAGTCTTACTTCATATGCCTGTGTGTCAGATGGAGGAGGGTTCTACTATCAAGTACGAACATGAAATAGCATGCTAATACGATAAGACAAACATGGAGACGCTGAAAACTTCAAAAAACTAGGACGTACATATGACGTGGATAGGCAAAAGTTATACTTGAATATAACTACTTACTAATATAAAAATGAACTTAAAATGACCATATATTTTTGGTGCAATACTTGTATCAGTTGCTATTTGAGCAGTAAAGGCAGAGCAAAGTCTGGCAGCTTGTTGTTCTCAGCAACTTAACAGTTGTAAACCAAGCAGTTAGTACACTATTCTGTTCTTCTTGAGCATATGCATAAATGGGGATAAGTACGTACCACAGATATATCAACAGTTAGAAAGTAAACCCTTTCTTCTGAAATGCTAACCTTTTTCTTTCATGAAACTTTCTGGATGTTTATACTCTGTCTTGGTGTTAAGGTATTGTGCATAGCACATGGCTGTTCGTGATAGTGAGAACGGAAATGTGTGGATAGAGAAAGTGAGATCTGAAGGGTCAGTTCCTTGTCTTCCACCAGAATACTGTCCAAATGGTTGGGCTACTCCTCCTGGGGACATATTCATGGTTAGGGGCCCCAACTATCTCTCAGACAAGGTGAAAATACCCGGTGGTCAATATCTTTTGGAATCCCTTGGATTTGATTGGATTAAAGGTTCTAAAAAAATCGGTGAGGTCTTGAATAATCCAAATCATCGTGTCAGGAAAGCCATCGATGAAGCAATTTCAAGGGGTAAGAAGCCTTTTGTTTGGGCATTTAATTTGCAACTCCCGAGCAAGGATAACTATAGTGCCATTGCTTACTTTTTTGGGCTTGAACCTATTGAATATGGGTCTTTGACTGATCAATTTATAAAGGGTGATGATACATTTCGCAATTCGAGACTCAAGTTAATAGCCAACATAGTGCAGGGACCTTGGATAGTTAAAAAAGCTGTTGGTGAGCAGGCTATTTGCATACTTGGTCGTGCTCTTGCTTGTAAATATGTTGTTGGGTTGAACTACATTGAGGTTGATGTGGATATTGCTTCCTCTGTGATTGCTAATGCAATTGTTCACTTGGCATTTGGTTATATCACATCCCTTACAGTGGATCTAGCATTTCTCATTGAGAGCCAGACAGAGGCTGAGCTTCCAGAAAGAATTCTTGGAGCTGTTAGGTTTTCAGAACTTACGCCAGATTCAGCTTCTGAGTACGAGATGCCAGCTGAAGAGAATTTTTCGGACATGCAATCATCTCAACCTAGTTTGTGGAGATCACTTGGTCGCTTCACTCATTTGCTACATCGAGGTAATCAAGATGGTTCAGTAGAACACATAAATGATACCCTTGATGTTGAAGATGAAAATGTATTCAAACCCACTGATGTTACCCTTAAGCATGAAGATGGCAATGAACATGCATACAGATACTGGTAAGTTCTGTAGTGTTAAATCTATATGTAATGACACCTAATTGTTTTTAGTTCTTCGTTGAGATCCATGTGAATAAACTCTAACTTCTAGGGTTAATTGTGGAAAAGGCCCCCCTGTACTATCGCCAAATTGATCTTATTACCCTTGTAGTTCTATTGTTGGAGATAGACCACTGAGTGAAAAATCTTTGGACCCTTTTCAGGGGGCCTATCTGCAACATGAGATTTTCGCTCAGGGGATCTATCAGCAACAATAAAACTCAACCAGGGTGTTTATCTGCAACAGTAGAACTATATGGGTAGTAAGCTCAATTTGGCGATAGTACAAGGGGTCTATCTGCAATTAACCCAAAATTTTCCTATCACTCGTTTTTATTTCTCTTACAATTTGTATAAATCTCCTACGATATACTAATTCTTTTTATTGTGTGTTTGCAGATTCTTTGGTTATGACTTCAAATTCTTAAGGAGATCCATTCATAGCATCACATTGTCCAGACGCCAGAGTCCAGAGTGGGTAACCTCTTGTAAATTGTTGTCGTCAAGATTAGATGCATTTGATCATTCAATTATTCAAATCCTGTATCTTTAACGAATCCACCATAGAGTAAATATTCTGTAAATTGTTTTTCTCCATATTGTATAATTGCCTTTGCCGTTCAATTACTTGCACCTTATATCTTTATTGGCCTATTCGGGGTATTTAGTCTCATAATCCTCTTTATTTTTCATAATGTCTAATTTCATAAGGTGGTTCTAAAGAATGTTTTAGTTTCTGAATGCCTGTTACAATTTTATTTAACGCTAGCTTTGAAATCTGATGCTATCCACTTATTTATTCTATGAGAATGGTTCCTAATTATCAATTTAAAAAACCCCTGATTCTCTTTACGTCCTTAGAAGGACTTTGATGTTTCCAGGGTTATGTTTTTTTGGGGTATAGGATCTTCTGCATTGCTTATTTATGCTAAACCACGTACGAACATGTATAATTCTTTATGCATGTGCTCTATGACTATTTTTGACAGTGGCATTTTCTTTGTTTCTAGATCTTAACAATGCAAATGCAGCCTTTTCTCTTCCCTTTTTTGTTGGTTGCTTGGTTGATATACGCAGGGGATTCAGGAATCTGTAATGATCAAAAGTTGGATCACAGTGACAAAATGAATTCCAAAGCCGTTCCTACTTGGTTCTGATCAGATTAGTTACCCTGAATGCTTGCGCTGATGAGAAAAGCACCTATTATGAATTTGTCCGCATATATGTTAATAATTATAGTTGATAAGAGATCATGAGCTGAGGGAAGCGTATAATTTAGAACAAATTTTTACTACTTCAGTCCTCGTACTTTCGTGTGTAATTATCTTCATAATCCTTTGGGTTGCGTATTTAATGTCACGAACCATTCTCAATGGATACTTCCTCCCAGGCCGTTGTACTCTTGTGCGTAATTCAGCTCATAATTCTTTGGATGCATATTGATGTCAAGATCAGTTCCCACTGGATAATTTCTCTTCAATCCTAGTATTTTTGTGTGTAAAGCTGGATTCAACAAGAGCTTTCAGCCGAATTATTCAACATATAACATTCTTCCCAAATATGCTAGTTTTCAATAGTGAACATGGTTGCTCCTGAAAAATTATTATTATCCATCACCGATCAAGTTAATTAGCATGACATGATTTATATAATTTGTAGAAAGATTAGGGTTAGTTTCTCTCATTGAGAGGCCCCTCTTTTATATTCATGCATTCTTACATCTAGGTCCTTACAACATTGACTAATTCACTTAGTATCTAAATAACTCAACACCCCCCCTCAAGATGGGCGATAGATATCAATCATCCCCATCTTGTTACAAAAGATATCATACTCTCTAGAACCTAATCCTTTTGTTAAACAATCAGCTAACTGCTCTTCTGATTTCACATAGCTCAAAGTCAGAACTCCTCTATTCAGTTGCTCCTTGATAAAGAACCGATCAATCTCCACATGTTTGGTGCGATCATGCTGAACTGGATTATTTGCAATATTAATTGCCGATTTGTTATCACACCAAAGTTGTAAGGAGTCTCTTCTAAACAAGCGCAGCTCAGATAATATGTTTTTTACCCACATCAACTCGCACAGACTAACTGCCATAGCTCTGTACTCGGCCTCAGCTGTAGACCTAGCCACCACATCTTGCTTCTTGCTACGCCAAGATACGAGATTGCCTCCAACAAATACACAGTAGCCTGTAGTGGATCTACGATCATCCATACAACCCGCCCAATCAGCATCACAATAGCCTTCAATTCTCAGATGTCCAAAACTCCTGAACCATAACCCCTTTCCTGGGCTTCCTTTAATATATCTAAGAATTCTGCGAACTGCCTCCATATGCTGCTCTCTAGGATCATGCATATATCTACTCACCACACTCACTGCATGAGTAATATCAGGTTTCGTATGTCATAGATATATAAGTCGTCCAACCAATCTTTGATATTGCTCTTTACTCACAGGGTCCCCACCCTCGGCAATCATCTTATGATTCTGCTCAATAGGAGTAGATGCAACTCTGCACCCCAACATCCCTGTCTCTGAGAGAAGATCCAGAGCATACTTCCGCTGAGAAAGCACTATACCCTTTCGCGACCTTGCAATTTCAATTCCGAGAAAGTACTTCAACTGCCCCAGATCTTTAACTTCAAATTCCTCTCCCAATTTCTTCTTCAACAGTAGGATTTCCTCAGCGTCATCTCCAGTGATTACAATATCATCAACATAGACCGCCAGGATAGTGATACGAGTTTTGGAGTGCCTGTAAAACACAGTATGATCACCATTGCACTGCTTGTACCCCATACCACAAACTGCCAACCTGAATCTATCAAACCATGCCCTCGGAGACTGTTTTAACCCATACAAAGACTTCTTTAACTTGCACACCTTCCCAGCTACTTGAGAAGTAGTGAAGCCTGGTGGAATCTCTATATATACCTCCTCTTGAAGATCTCCATGCAAAAAGGCATTCTTGACATCTAGCTGACGTAGTGGCCAATTAAAATTGGCAGCATATGACACCAACACTCTAACAGTACTCATCTTTGCTACTGGAGCAAATGTCTCGTCATAGTCAATGCCGTATGTTTGGCTGTAGCCTTTAGCAACCAATCTGACCTTGTATCTGTCGATCTTGCCCTCTGGAGTTTGCTTAACCGTATACACCCACTTACATCCAACAGCACACTTCCTAGCTGGCAAAGGTACCAACTCCCATGTGTCATTCTTCTTCAAGGCCTGGAGTTCCTCGTGCATGTCATTCAACCACCTAGGATCTTGCTTAGCTACCTGCCAGTTGTTAGGTACAGGCACTGAATGCAACGATACAATGAATGACTTATATGCAGGTGGAATGAATGCATATGAAATGTAATTTGCAATATCAGTATCCCAATTACCAAACTTAGCTGGAGGTTTTCCAGCATTGACTCTAGAGGTTCTGCGGGGCAAGATAGGAGTATCAGAGGTATCAGGGAAGGAATCGTTACCTATCGACTTAGGTGGAGGAGAAGAGCAAGGCACTGGAGAGGAAGAGGAAGGCACTGGAGAGGAGGGACTTGGGGGTCATCAACATTTGTGGGTACTGACACAGGCACGGGAGGCGGCTCATGCTGCTGTTTCTGTCTCCTCGTGTATACTCTCAGCTCCCTCTGACTTTGACTACCAACTCCTAAGTCACCACCACTACTCGGTGATGTACCATCACTACTCGGTGACTCAAGAGGACATGGAATCATCCCGACCACAATATCATTCTCATTCTCATTCTCCCCCTCTCTACTAGCATCAATAGAGCCATCTCCAAACAAGGAACTCAACTCCGTCTTCTCCCCATAAAAAGGTTCAAACTCCCGAAAAGTCACATCCATCCCTAATACTCTTGATGGCATCCTGTTGATCAAATAAGCTGCTGTCATAACAGCCTCACTCCATAAAAACTTAGGCACATTCATTGTCAACATCAATGAGCGTGTCACTTCCAGTAGATGCCTGTTCTTACGCTCAGCCACCCCATTCTGAGCAGGGGTGTCTGGGCAGGTGGTTTGATGAACAATTCCCTGATTAGAGATGAAAGCTGCAAACTCCTTATTGACATACTCAGTCTCATTATCTGTTCAAAGAATCTTCACCTGCACTCCAAACTGTGTCTTCACATAAGCCGAGAAATCTTGAAAACATTTGTAAACCTCTGATTTCTGCTTCATCATGTATATCCAGGTCATACGTGAATAACAATCAATGAAAGTAACAAACTATCTAAAACCACTGATAGAGGTAGTAGGACATGGTCCCCAAACATTAGAATGGACAAGTGCAAATGGTTCACAACTTCGAAGACCAATCATTCTATAAGTAGAATGAGTATGTTTTCCAAGTTCACATGCATTACAAAATAACTCTTTTCTATTCACTTTCTTCATTAACTTAGGTTCTAATTTATTTAAACTCTCAAAAGATAAATGCCCTAACCGGCAATGTTGAAGCATCGCTTCTGCCTCTGGCCCTCCGCTAACAGCAGCAGCAATCATTGCTGTCTCCCTGTCCAAATACCAAAGACCATCACGTCTGATACCAGTCCCAATCCTCCTCCCCGTTTCCTTCTCTTGAAAGACACACAAATCTCGATCAAATAACACGGTGCAATTTAATTGATCAATGAGAGAGCTAACTGAGAGTAAGTTAACTGGGAACGAAGGAACATGCAATACTGATGACAAGGTAACAGATGAAGTACAATGGACCGAGCCAGTACCCCTGATGGGTTGGGATGTCCCATCAGCAGTTTGAACTGTCTCAGGATGCATATGCTTACTCGGATAATATAATGCAAACTCACTAGATGTTCATGTGACATGCCTAGATGCACCTGAGTCTATGATCCAATCAACATGAGTTTTAGTGGATGCAAGTGCATGAACCTGTGTACCTTTGTTCGCATGAGCATAACCAATAAAGTTACCAAAGCATGTAGTGGTACCTGTGTACCTTTGTTCGCATGAGCATAACCAATAAAGTTACCAAAGCATGTAGTGGTAGCCAGATCCTAGGTGACTTGTCCCTTGCCCTTTGAACTCTCAGCCTGAAGCTTGAACAGACGTAGTTCCTCCAGCTCTGTTATTTCAGCTCCAGTCATCCCAGCAGTAGTCTGAGACTCATCTGCCACAGCTAGGTGAGCAACTCCTCGGCCTACACGCCCCCTGCCTCCTCGACCTGCACGGCCACTAAGTCTGACCACATTCACCCCAGTTCCTTTCTCTGGGTGGCTTAGGGCACATCTGTCTCAGATGCCCTACCTCTCCGCAGTTGAAGCACTGCCTAGTCTCCTCTTTGAATCCGGTGTTATCCGGATTGGATACCACCAGTGCAGACTTCTCTCCTGTAAGTCCACCTGTCCCAGCCTGTAGCCTGATACAATTTTCCTCCTGTATCATGGCCGAGACTGCCTCCTCCAGTGATGGGATCTTCGTCTGGGTTAGTAGCAACGCTGTTCTCTGCTCATACGCTGGAGCCAAGCCTCGAAGAAACAACATAGTCATCTTCTGCAGAGAGGCCTCGCGTTCCTTGCATCCCGGGTCATTGCAGCTTGCCAGGGGCGAGAAGTGATCGTGATCGAGCCACAAGCGCTCCAACTCTGTGGCATACTCCTGTACAATCCTCTCTCCCTGAACTGTAGCGTTGGGGGGGAGCCACAAGCGCTCCAACTCTGTGGCATACTCCTGTACAATCCTCTCTCCCTGAACTGTAGCGTTGATCTCTTTCTCGATCTGGAATACCCTCAAGTTATTTCCCATCCCATCATAGGTCCTCCTCAGCTTCTCCCATACATCATGCACTCTCTCAAGGCCATCCACTGTGGCAGCAATTGGCTGGACTACAGAATTTAGAAGCCAGATATACACCAACATATGAGTGGACTTCCACTCATCCCTCCCTGCTGAGTCCTCAGCCGGCTCAGTCTTCTCCCATGTCAGATATCCCTCTAGGTTCCTCCCAACAAGGCTATATTTCACGCGGCGCGACCAACTCAGATATGTCGTGGGTCCATCAAGTTTTACATCGATAGGTGGAAGCTCCACCTTTTTGGTTGTGGCTTTGTCGAGCTCTCTCCCGCCGACAACTTCATCAGTTGCATCAGTGTTGAGATCTCCTCAGGATTCAACTTCTTGATGATCCCTTCCATCAGATTTTTGCCAGTCTCTGTCATCGATCCAACTTATAATTTTTGTGTGCAGTAAAAATTTCGGCAGCACTTCGACAGCACCACAAGAAAGATAGATCAACAAGAATTCCTGTTTCACCAAGGAAACAAGAACCAGAAGCAGGATATCTCAACCAAGTGAGATATCAGCTCTTCCTCTCATCAGTTCTAGGACTGACCTGTCGAGGGAACCTAAACAAGCTATTACAATTCGAGAAATAAAGAAAAAAGGGTCATCTAATACGTATTACAGATCCCCTTTTTTTAATCAGCACAAACATTAGTGGAGATATTTTCCACCATCACAGCCATCATGTCAAGAACAGGCCCTGCTTCGCCAATCTGAATAAAAGAAAGCATAAAAAAAGGTTACAGATCCCCTTTATTTTCCTTTTTTCTTATTCTCTTTCCTCCCAAAACAAAACCCTAACGCTGATCACAAATCCGAATCCCAACTCGGATCCAAGCGCCAAGCCGTCCCCTCCTCCGACGACCCCTCGAGATCCTCCTACAGCCGCCCCACCTACGATGGCGCCGCCATCTCCGGCAAGGTCTCAGTCACCCGCGTCTCCGTCACTAGCGCTCGATGTGCCGGCTCGATGAGGTGGAAGCACGTGCGCACTCAGCGCGCCTCGCCTGCTTGTTGCGGAGCTCCAGGTCTTCACGGAGGAGGTGAGTCGCCGATTCTGACCATTTTATTCGCCGAGAAAGAGAGAGAGAGAGAGAGATATTTACAGTCTGAAGTTCGCCGGAGAGATGGCGACGCTGTGGATCCTCTCGTCCCCTCCGATGCTTCATCTGCCCAGCGGCGGCGGCCTGAGCACCGTCAAAAGCAGTCCTTTTCTTGTTCCTCCTCCCCCTGTCCTTGTTGAGCGGAGGAGATTTTTGAGGAGGAGACAAAGGGTGAACGAGTTAAAAAAGGAGGAGAGCAGCGGCGTCTAGCTCTGATACCATGTAAAAAGATTAGGGTTAGTTTCTCTCATTGAGAGACCCCTCTTTTATATTCATGTATTCTTACAACTAGGTCCTTACAACATTGACTAATTCACTTATGGTGTGTTTGGGAGTTCACTAAGGGAAGGGAAGGAAAGGTAAACAACAGGAAGAGAAGGGAAGGGAAGAGAATTGTAATATGTTGTTTGGGAGTTGAGTAAGGTGAGTGAAGGTGAAAGGAAGTAAATATATGTAAATTTACATAAATGACTTTATACTAATAACACATCAGCCCTTTTATTTGTTTTGATGAGGGTAAGAATGTCATTACACCCTTTTACCCTCTTTTACCCTCCTCTACCGCCCAAATCGGGGGGAAAGAAGTAATTTTGCCCTCCGTTCCCCTTCCTTCATCCTCTCTATCCTCCTTAAAAAAACTCCCAAACAAGGTGAAAGTTGTATTTCTCTTCCCCTCCCCCTCTCTACCCTCCATCCAAACAGGGCATTAGTATCTAAATAACTCAACGTAATTATATACAAGCGAAAGCCCAACAGGATGAGATAATGCCAGCGTTGATTTTATCCCCAGTTGCAGTGAGGGAAAAGTCACAGGACGAGGTTGGCTGTTTGTTGGCTGCGTACTTGCATCAGCTCGCGCTCGGGCCATCACGATTACGATCCAAACCCGATCCGATCTAAAATTGGAAACGAGATCGCTCGCTCAGGCGATGATCCAACAAAAATCGCCGCCCCACCTCTCTCTCTCGTCCCCGTCCAAATCCTGTTCAACTCAATCCGCACGCGATCAGTGACGTCCTCTCCGAAATCGATCACAACCCTTCACCAAACCCTAACTCTACCCTTCTCTCTGAACGAATCATCCCAGTTGGGTGCAGTGATGAGCGCTCTTCTTCTCTCTTTGAGAAGAAGAAGAAGAAGATGCTCGGATTCTCCACCGCGATGGCTTTCATGAAGCGTTGTTCCTTTTCTCTCTTTCCCTTCATCCTCCCTTCGATTCTTCTCTCTCTGTTGATTCGGGAATTGATTCGGTTTGATTTCGACATTTCGATGTTTGATTTAGTGAAGGAAGGGGTGGATGAGATGATAAAGTACATCGCCAACGAGCCCTCGGTGGGCCTTTACTACGTTCAGCAGCACGCACACTCTTCAATGCCCTATCTCCTCAACGTCAGGGTAAGCTCTCTCCAGATTATTTATTGGTCAAAAGCCAAGAAAGTTGTCATCTTTATTACGATTTTGTGGGTAATTGCTGACGAGTCTGTGGGTTTTCCGGATTCGTTAGCTGAGGCTTATGTTTCTGTTCTGATGCTTCTATTCTGCATGTTAAAGCTCGAAACTTGTTCGGCTGGGGTTCGATCCTCGTTAGTTTGTACTTTGTACTATTTGTAGACGAGTAGTCCCAAAAACGCTAGTCCCAACAAGTATTGCCTTTTCTCATCTTGCTTGTTCATTTCGGCAAATCTGGCCAGAGGTTGCAAATATAAGATTTTTGCTTCAAACATTATCTCGTAATGATATTCACAAAGCTTTATAAACTTTTTAGGTCTGAAAACATTGAACAATGTTGTCGGAGAATAAAGGATGCAGAAAGGTCAGAAGAGGTTTTCCTGTGGCAGTTAATAGGATAATGGTGAATTTAAAATTTCGTTGAGTGTTGACGAAAATGACCTTGCAGGCTATTAGTACTTGGATTAGGTATCAGTTAGAGGTCGTTGCCCATTTGTAATTTCATGGGATTAAATGGTGTCATCATCTGATATTGAAGACTACTTTATCCCAACATTTGAGGTTTTCCGTTTGCTTTATACGTAGAAGATGAGTTGTGTGTGGTTCCATTCAGCAGCAGTTAGTAAAGCTCACTGCTTTAATCATGTGCAGGCTAATGACTAATCCACTCCCTTTAAGTAACATTTTGTGACTAAACTTGGTTGATAAGGTTAGGTCTTTTGGAATCCTGCAAAGCTATGTCCTGACAAAGGTGACTGGATTGTTCATTGAATTGAGTAATAACTGGAAATTCTATCTAAGCCACATAATGACCTCCTGTTCTAAGTAACTATTGATTCCTCAGTGACAATAATCTCTCTTTCCTATCCAATCAACAGTCTATAACCACTCTTTTTCATGTTGCAGGCTATGGTTAAAATGTTTAGTAAGATTAACAGTTATCCAGGCTCATATTTCTCATAGCTGTAGGCTAGCTTCTTAAGAGGCTGAAGAGTTTATCTTACAATATAGCAGCTATTTAGTAAGCCATTTCTTAACAGGCTGAAGAGTTATCTTAAAATTTAGTAGCTATTTAATAAGCTATCTCTTAAGAGGCTGAAGAGTTTATCGTACAATGTAGCAGCTACTTAATAAGCTATTTTTTTAAAAAGCTGTAAATTTTAAGAGACACTTTCCTCTGGTATATATATCACAATTTAATTTTTCATTTTAGGACAAAGCTGTGGAGAAAATTCATGAGGTTACCCTTCATACTGAAGACATAGAGGATTCTATCTATGTGGTGAGATCAATGACCGAATGTGGCCTGCCTATAGCAGATGAGATGATCAAAGATATCAACAAATCTCTACATATCATGTCGGCATGCCAACCAAAAAGGGGGTAAGATTCACATTGTTGCCTTATTTTTCTTACTTTTTCCTTTCTTTTCCATAGAGAAGTGCAAACAGATTAAAAATTGGATCACTTTCTTATGATTGATGTCATCAATAAAGAGTCTGACGCTAAGTTGCATGGAAACGTGCACGAGTACTGGTACGGGTAGGGGACACGACAAAACTGTAAAATGTATTGTACGGGGACACAACTACATATATATATTGAATTAATAATGTACATGGGATAATTTTTTTCCCGCTTCATGTGTCATTAGAATTAAAATTCCGATCACATTCTTGGGTTTCTTTTATCATATTGATTATCGTGAACTGTAATTTGTAAACTACTCATTTTTTTACTAGACATCTAAATGACCCATTAACTATATAGTTGTGAACTTGAGTATCGACTGAAACGAACCCGACCAATATCTTATTAGTTTCAAAAGACTGATGTGAAGTGTAAGCTCTACGTCCAGGAAGTCTTTGACAATTGTTTTAAATTTACACATATATCGTATAATTGAGTACATGTTGTAATAAATGCATGCATATATTCAAGAAGTGTTCATAAAGTTTGGGTATGGGAAAGTGTCGAGTATGTGTCCGGTATGGGTACAACTTCATTATAGAAGTACCCGGGTAACATAGGTCTCACATGATTCGCTTAGCAAGGTATATACAATTTGTCTGCCCCATGTTGTAGTTTCATGTTATTTTGGAACAACTTCCACTCCTTGGCAATTAGGTAAATATTACCTTCTTTGCCTGTCTTAACTATAAGTCTATAACACTAAAAAGTATAATATATGTTATCGCTTCTACCATGGCGTAATCATCGTACTTTCATCATGATAATTCATAAATATGCGAATTTTGAAGCAGTTATGATTATTTGCTATTGGGTCGTATGGACGATAATATACAATATTGAAGTTTGCACAACTAGTTACAAAATGGTCGAAATGAACACAATGGACAAAAATCAAAGACTAGCCATGAAAACCATGAATTTTGAAGTACACATATTTATTTTCTCTTGGGTAGAAGAACAAAAATTGATAACAATCGTGGGTTATAGCCCATGAAAAACAATATTTTTGATGAAAGAAAATTTATTTCTATTAGGTCAAAACTAAAAAAATAGAAGAAAATTGAGTACATGTTGTAATAAATGCATGCATATATTCAAGAACTGTGCATGAAGTTTGGGTATGGGAAAGTGTCGGGTATGTGTCCGGTACAGGTACAACTTCATTATAGAAGTACCCGAGTATAATTACTTTCCATTGGGACAAGATGTACAAAAAATACCAAAATCGTGGAATATATAGCCTATGAAAATCGTGAATATTGAAGTTCACACATTGTTGGCGAAATGGTCGAAACAAGCAAAATAGACAAAAATCATGGACTATAGCTCACAAAAATCATGGAATTTGAACTGTGCATATTTTTTTTGGAAAACGAAAACCGACAATAATCGTGGATTATAGTTAATGCAAATTAATGAAAGAAAATGTTATTGCCACTAGATTGAAACAAGCAAAAATAGACTAAAATCGCGGGTTATAGCCCATGAATATTGCAAATTTTAACATATAATTATTTATCATTGAGACAACGAACAAAAATTGCCAAAATTCTAGGTAATAACCCACCAAAATTGGTGATTTTAAAGTAATCATAAATATACTACCATGCCAAATGAACAATTGCGAAAAAAATTCATTGGTTACAACCCATGGAAATTGCGAATATTGAAGTTTGCAGAATTAATTGGTAAATGTGTCAAAAAGAACAAAATGCACAATACTCATGGATTACAGCCCATGAAAATCATAAATTTTAAGTATGTTATTTATTTTCCATTCGGTTGGAACATGAAAATTAACAAAATCGCAGATAGCTCATTAAAATTGCATTTTTTGAATAAAGATCGAAATTTAAAAAATTAACAAAAATCATAGGTTGTAGCCCGTAAAATTCGCAAAATTGTGAAATAGTGGGTATTAGTTCATGAAAATCGTAAAGTTTAAAGTACACATAATTATTTGTCATTGGGTCAAAATAAATGAATTTTGATCAAAAAATTGTGTGTTGTAGCCTAAGAAATTACGAGTTTTGAAGTGCGCATTATTACTTGCCATAGGGATGAAATGAACAAAATTGTTAAAATCATGGGTTATAGCCTACGAAAATCGTGAATATTTAAGTTCACACAATTAATTGCTAAATAGTCAAAACGAACAAATGGACAAAAAACATGAATTACAGCCTATGAAAATCACGAATTATAAAGTAAGCATTTTTATTTTTCATTAGGTCCAAGAACAAGAACTGACCAAAATCATGGGTCTAAAAATCATGATTTTGAAGAAAGAAAATTTAGTTGCCATTTTTTCCAAACTAATGAAAATAGACTGAAATCATGAGTTATAATCCATAAAAATTGTGAAAGTTTATGTGCGCATGACTAAGTGCTATTTGTTCAAAACAAACAAAAATGAGCAAGTTTTGTGGGTATTTTAAAATTTGAAATATGCTTAGTTAATTGTTGTTGGGTCAAAATGAACTAAAAGGTGCATAAAATTGTGGGACATGAGCAATGAAAATCGTGAATTTTGAAGTATACGTATTTATTTTTCATAAGGTCTAAATGAACTAAATTATTAAAAAAATCATGGAGAATAACCCAAAATTGCGAATTTTGTAATATGTATAATTTGTTGCAATTAGGTCGAAATTGGCAAATTTGACAAGCTTTGTATGTTAAAACCTATGAAGATCGAGATATTTATGGTATGCATACCTATTGGCCATTGTGTTAAACAATAAAATTTGACAAGAATCGTTGGTTGCCCATAGAAATCACGATTTTGAATAAAGAAATCTTAATTACTATTTGATCAAAAGAAACAAAAATTGACAAAAATCATGGGTTAGCCTATTGGGTTGAAAAGAACAAAAATTAACAGAAAAAATTGTAGCTTAGCCTATCAAAACCATGTGTCATAACCTACCAAAATCTTTGAATTTTGTAGTATACATAATTAATTGTCATTGGATCGAATTAACAATAATGGACAAAAATCGTGGATATAGCCTATAAAAATGGCGAAAGTTGAAGTTCACACAGTTAATTGGTAAATGGACCAAACAAAAAGAATGGACAAAAATTATGGATTATAATCCATAAAATTCACAAATTTTGAAGTAAGCATATATATATTCCAATAGGTCAAAGACCGCAAACTAATTAAAAATCGTGGGTTATGACCCATGAAAATTGCAATTTTTTATGAAAGAAAGTTTAATTTCCATTTTATCGAAACTAAAAATGGACTAAAATATGGGTTAGCCTATGAAAATCACAAATTTTAAAATATGTATAATTACTCGACGTTAGGACAAATTGAAATAAATGTCCAAAATTGATGCTTATGACCAACCAAAATTGTGAATTTTGAAGCTTGCACATTGAATTGCTAAATGGTCGAAATGAACAAAATAGACAACAATCACGGATATTACAATTTTTTGTGAAAGAATTTAATTGACATTAGATCAAAACTAACAAAATAGACTAAAATTGAGGGGGTTTATAACCCATGAAACGCATCATTACTTGCCATTAGGATTAAATGAAACAAAAATTCCCAAAATCGTGAGTTTTAGCCCATTATACTCGTGATTTTTAAATAGTTATAATTAGGAGCCATTGAATGCAATGAATGATAATGGAGGAAAATTGAGGGATATAGTACATGAAAATCATAAATATTGAAGTTCGCACATTGAGTTACAAAATGGTCGAAACGAACAAAATGGACCATAGTCATGGACTACAACCCCATGAAAATCATGAATTTTGGAGTATGCATATTTATTTTCCATTTGGTTGAAGATCGAAAATTGAGGAAAATCTTGGATTATAGCTCATCAAAATCGTGATTTTTTGTTGGAAGAAATTTAACTGCTGTCAAGTCCAAACTAACAGAAATAGACTAAAATTGTGGATTATAGCCCATGAAAATTATGAATTTTGAAGTACCCATATTTATTTTCCATTTGGTTGAAGATCGAAAATTGAGGAAAATCTTGGATTATGCCCATGAAAATTGTGATCTTTTTGATGGAACAAAATCTAACCGCTGCCAAGTCCAAACTAACAAAAATAGACTAAAATTGTGGATTATAGCCCGTGACGATTGTGATTTTTGAAGTACGTATAATTTTTTGCCATAATTTCGTATTGGTCATAATTATTTGCCATTGGGTTGTACTTGTATGAATGATAATGGACAAAAATCATGAGTGCCCATGAAAATTGCTAAGATTGAAGTTTGCACAATTAGTTGTTAAATGGTAAAAACGAACAAAATGAGCAAAAATCATTGTGTGTAAAAATTGTGGACTGTTATTTGGGCACGCATACTTATTTTTCATTATGTCGAAAAATGAAAATTTATAAAATCGTGGGTCATAACCCATGAAAGTCGTGATTTTTGAAGAAAAATATAATTGCCCTTAGTTTAAAACTTACAAAAACAAATAAAGATCGTGAGTTATATAGCCCTTGAGAATAACGAATTTTGCAAAACATATAAATACTTGCCTTCGAGACGAAATGAACGAAAATTATCAAAACAACGAGTTGTAACCCAAAAAAATCGCGAACTGAAGTAGTCATAGTTAATTGTCATTAGGTCGAATGAACAATTATGGGTAGAATCGTGTGTTATAGCCTGTGAAAAGCGTAAATATGTACGTTTGCACAATTAATTGCTACACGTCGAAACAAAGATAATGGAAAAAAATCATGGACTATTATAGCCCATGAACTTGTGATATTTAAGGTATGCATACCTATTTGTTATTGTGTCAAATAACAAAAATTGAAAAAACATCGTTAGTTGTAATTCATAAAAATTAAAGATTTTGTAGACGCACATTTATTTTCCTTTAGGTTGAGGAATGGAATTGACGGAAATCGTTGGTTAT